ATTTCCAGGCGATCCCTTGCTTTTTGCTCTTCTGGCTGACCGTCGGCTTGATCCACCAGATGCGCGTCAACAGGATGAAGCGGAAGCTGATCCTCCACGTGAAGGAGGACGAGAAGCAAAGGAAGAGAGGTAGCTTCTCCCTTTCTTTCTCTCGCTCTCTCTCGCTCTCGGTCTCTCTCTCTCTCTTTGATCTGACGAAATAATTATAATCCTATTAAATTTTAATTTCAGGCGATCAAACCACATACATGCTCCTCTTGATGGTCAGCGTCTTCCTCTTTACCGAGTTACCGCAAGGCGTTATTGCCATTTTGAGTGGTACGTTTTTGAACAGTATACATTACAATATCCTGGACTTTTAGCAATGTACACCCAGGAATTCCATCGTCACGTCTACGCGCCATTGGCTGATGTTCTGGATTTGTTGAGGTCAGGATTTGGCCTTATTTTCTCTCACTCTCTCTCTCCTCTCTCTCTCTCTCTCTCTCTCTCTCTCTGCCATCTTAAGTCGTTTTTCAGCCTCGTCAACTGCTACGTGGCCTTCCTGGTCTACGTTTGCACCTGCTCACGCTACCGACAGACTCTACTCACGATTCTACCAAACGTCGATAGGTTCGTAGTGTAACTTAGCTTTAATCTGGCTGCATTACATTATACAAACATCGACGGAACTAATAAAAAATTGATTTTTATAAAAAATACGGTAGATTCCGGAAGCCATAAGCTTTTCTTGACGGTTTCCGATTTTTACGATTTTCTAACCTCTGAGCTTTAAATCCGTTGTAGACGTCTTTCGAACGACCCACTGCGACTGCATACTATAGTTATATTCTCCAGAATCATGTCCAATCTGACAACACGCCAGAATACGCTGGTAAACCCGCAGAAACGAGACTCGTTGGCGCCGAATGGGACAAAGGTGAGGAGCCTCTCATGCCTCTTGCTCACTCTCTCGCTCTCACTCTCTCTCACTCTTTCTCTCTTGCTCTCTCTCTTGCTCTCTCTCTTGCTCTCTCTCTCTATCGCTCTCTCGCTGAACCACCTCTTTCCAGGTAATTCCCCAATCAGTCCGACGCTGCAGCCGCTCCGAGGTGGTCAACACGGAAGTGACAGCCCTGGTCAACGGCCGTGAAAGCTGTACAGACACGTACTTGTGAAGCTCCGTTGATTGTACCTTATTTTATTACATCAAGATGAGCTTTTCCCCGCAAAAACCCCTCTCAGCTTACGATAAGCCCAAACTTGTGATGTTTCGGGCTTTAAAGGGGTGTTGAAGGCAAAATACTGGCTTCGGCTTAGGCTTAGGCTTCGGGCTAGACTTAGGCTTAGGCTTAGGACTAGGCCCGGGCGTAGGCTCAGGCTTAGGCTTAGGCTTGGGCTTAGGCGCAGGCTTGCGTAGGCTTAGGCTTAGATTCAGTAAATTTTTGCCTTCCACGCTCCTTTAAACCCCGCCCCCATTAATCTGCCCAATTCTCCCCCTCCCAACTCAGCGATTTGAATATTCCAGTGCCAATTTCTTTTCTTTTCTGTGTTTTCAAATTTTCCCGAAAATTTGCCCAATACAATTGGCCCCGTCCTCCACTTGGAATAATGCCAATTTTGCTCGCATTTGAATGTTTAATTTTTGGATTATTTTTAAGGAATTTTACGTGTACCCTAGTGCTTTACAGAGCCCCTCCCACCCCATTATGGCACCATTTTTGATTTTTTCGAACGTTTACACACATTTTATGCAAATCACGACGGGTCTCCGGTGATCTTTTTGTATTGGATAAAGATGATTTTAGGACGAAAGAATTTACAAGGTTGAGCTGGAAATGGCAAATAATTGGTACTAAGAGATTATTTGATTTTCTAAGAAAAATTTGGTGAGCTCGCAATAAGAATTTAAGGATTTTTTCGAATTTTGAGATATTTAATTTTATTTTTCTGCAAATAACCGGTATTATTTATTAATAAACCTTAGATACAGCAGATGCAAAAATAATAACGAACAAAAAATTAAAATACGCTCCGAATCGTCGGGGTGGCCGCGTGCGGAGGCTGGAGGGGCCGGATCGGCTGAAAATTTTAATTTTGAAGAATTAGAAAAATTAGCATACCTCATCGAAGCTTCTCGTCTTGGCGATGATGTTCTGCACGTTTTTACCATGTCCTCTGAAAGGCGATAAAATTTGATTGCTAATTTCAGAAAAACTTCAGCTTTAGCGCTTGAAAAAACATTGAATTATCTCTTGCTATATTACGATCTCTCTTTCTCTCCCTCTCACGCTCTGCCTATCTGTTTCGCTCTCTTTCTCTCTCCCTCTCTCCCCTCTCGTGCTCTCTCTCTCCCCTCTCTCTGTCTCGCAGTATCTCTATATCTCTGTCTCTCTCTATCACTAGCTCTCTCTCTTTCTCTCGCTTACTTGTACGTAGCCCCAAGCACATATTTCACTCTTCCATGGTCCGACACCTCAAGTTCGCTCTCCTGATCGGTCAGATCGGGTTGTTCCTTAAACACTGCATCATACACCTGATTCTCAAGACTTACAATGCTGTCCTCGGATATGGTGGTGGTTTCAAAATCCGCGAACTGGGAATTCGTAGGGCGAGAGTGGCTGGAAATCGAGAAAAGTATAAAAATATGAGAACACAAAATTCGCCAACGGCCCTAAACCCTAAAGGGACAGTGAAGTCATGAATTTTGGTAAGGAAAGAGACCGAGAGAGAGAAAGAGCGAGCGAGAGAGCGAGAGAGAGGGAGATCTCTTTAAACCGAGAATTAACGAATTTTTACGAAACATAACTCTGGATTGCTAAGCGAAAAACCCAAAGCAACAAAATTACCTCCTCGCCATTAATGCACCAACTCCGAAAACGGCAATCAGAAAAATAGTATGCATTTTGTAGTACAACAGAAGTTAGGGAAGTAAAAGATACGGCAGCTGAGTACAGAAAATAGGAAATGAACTGAGAAAGTAGAGTTTGGGATGTCTATAAATGGGGGAAGACGCGACCTAGATCCCTCACCTGTAGCCGGGGATGAATAGAGGATTGAGCGGAATTATCCTACTCTGCTGTGACTCCCACTCGAACCACCGTAGCCCTTTCGATTTCTATTTCTCGCCTCTCTTTCTCTTCTCTCTCTCTCTCTCTCTCTCTCTCTCCAAAAACGGCCCCAATCCGAAAGCCGAAATTGGCCCCGCCTTCCGCCCCTCGCCCCCAAGAAGCAACACCTGGCTTCCGGGAGCGAAGATCGTAAGAAGGTTCGAAACGGAAAACTGGTCCTAAGACGGATTTGAGTTTGATTTTAAAGGGATGGTGATAGTAGAAGTCGTAGAAAACCGGAGCTATACGCGGTCCGGCAGACCGGGTGCTAGTCAATGTGTTACGGCGTGAAATTTGGCAAATCCTGTCCCAAACATACGCGTAGGCTTAAGCTTAGGCTTGGGCTTTAGACTTAGGCTTAGGTTTGGGCTTAGGCTTAGGCTTAGGTTTCGCTTAGCTTAGCTTGCGCTTAGGTTTAGTCTAAAGCTTTGACTTAGCTTACAAGGAGTGCCCTTAGTGTCATCGGCAAAACCCTTCACGACCTAGCTCATTCGATAGAGAATTGAATTCTGAACAAGCTCCCGTTGTTCGTTTTTGCGGAATGGCTGTCTCCGATTTTATAAAATTAAAAAACTAAAAACAGCATTTTTGGACCTCGATGTTCGCGCCAGCCCCGGACCCGCCCCCGGGGGAACAGCCGCTCTGACCTCTCCCCACCACCAGTAAGCGTGGCGCAGTGGCTAACACCGATGCCCACCGAACTTTTTTTGCGATTCAGGCAAAAGTTCGAAACCCACGGCAACAATTCTTTTTGCTTTTTGGATTTTGCCTGCGCTGGGTTCATAGGTCAAAATCCGTTTTATTTGAAGCAGAGACAATCGAACAATCCTTTGTGAGAAAGCCTATGTTTTTGAAAAACATGCGCTAATTAAGAATCTAGTTGGTGCAAGCCGGCTTTTCTCAAAAATGCACATGAAACGGCCACGAGGGGTTCCAAGCGTAACCTTATTCAAAAAGCAAAAAGAATTGTTGATGTGAGTTTCGAACTTTTGCCTGAATCGCAAAAAAAGCTCGGTGGGCAGCGGTGTTAGCTACTGCGCCACGCTTAATGGTGGTGGGGAGAGGTCAGGGCGGCTCTTCCCCCGGGGGCGCGTCTGGGGCTGGCGCGAACATCGAGGTCCAAAAATGCTGTTTTTAGTTTTTTTAATTTTATAAAATCTGAGACAGCCATTCCGCAAAAACGAACAACGGGAGCTTGTTCAGAATTCAATTCTCTATCGAATGAGCTAGGTCGTGAAACGTTTTGCCGATGACACTAAAAGGGCACTCCTTGTTAGGCTTAGGTCAGGCTTAAGTTAGGATTGAGCTTAGGCCCAGCTTCGGCTTAGCTTAGTGTTGATCTTAATTTTTCTCTTAAGCTTGACTTTTAGGATACTGTTTTACTCGTTAGTTTAACTTATTTGTTTGAGCTTGGCGTAGGCTTAGCTTTAGGCTTACCTTGGCTTAGGCTCCCAGAGTTGCCATTTCACCTGCCCCTCAATTCACAGGTGATCAACCCGTCCAAAAGCACGTAATCCTCGAGCGGATCAGCGTGAAGCTGGTGCTCAATGGTTCTTGCAAGTTCTCGGTGGGGGATCCGTTGCGCTCAGCTCGTTTAATTCCCCTCCAGGGAAAGGAAAGCGAAAGAGAGAGAGAGAGAGAGAGAGAGAGAGAGAGAGAGAGACAGAGACAGAGGTAGATGCAGCTGGCAGAAAGCTCCTCTGCCAGGATGATATCCCCTCCACAGTCCGCCCCCGCGCGTTACGCAATCTTTAGGGCATCTTTTAGCCCGGGGGCTAAGAGAGGCGATGAGAAGATTCAAGTTTTCACCCGGAGCAATCGGCTCGATGGCAATTCCGCCTCTGCAGCCAGCTGTCCTCTATCCCTGCTTCGGCTCATTTCCTTGAAACCATCATCAACACACGCTAAAAAATGGGTCGACTACTGTGGATTCTGGCTTTATTTTTGGTTTTTACAGAAATCGTTGATGCGAAGAGGATCAAGGCTTATGAGTGAGTTTTGGTGATTTGTAGTTTGTTTTTGTTGGTACTTTAATTTTGTGGCAATTGGAGGTAAATGTTTCCTATCTCTATCGCGGACTCAATTTCTCTTGCTCATTGCATCTCACTGTTTCTCGCTCACTCTCTCTCGCTCTCTCGCTCTTTCTCTCTCTCTCTCTCTCTCTCTCTCTCTCTCTCTTTCTATCGTTCTATTGCCGTCTCTGGCCGCTTATATCTTTCTCTAAAAGCGCAACAATTTATTTATTATGGTCATGCTGAGGCTATATCGACAGAGAGCCGGGAGGGAGAGAGAGAGAGAGAGAGAGAGAACGAGAGCGAGACAGAGCGCGTTATTTTTACTAATCCTCCATTTTTAGCCGCTACAAAGCCGTCTACAACGAAACCACTTGGGATGATGAGGTGCAGCCGGTTCTGGAGCAGCTCGTCAGGGTAAGCTTCGGCGCAGGCTTCGGCTTAACTTAGGTTACACAATCAAGTAGTTAGCGTTTTCAAGGGCGAAGCTGCCCAAAATCAAAGTTTTACTGATTTCAAAAGTAATTTAGGAGCATCGTAAGAGCTCTCGCGAGAACGCTGATGACGATATGTTGAAGGAAGCTGATCCGGAAGTGATTCAACCGGTGAAAAACGGGCCTCAGATTATCCAGGCTGGAACGGATGAGCAGGCGGACAAGGTTGTGGTGAGTAGGTTTAGTGGGATGAACAATAAATTACAGTTTCGACCTCATCAAATCTGAAAATTCTCAATTTAGACGAGTTGACAACAAAACATATTTAGCCCCAAATGCCGCTCGCCAGGATCACGATCAAGAAATTGCGGTGCCGACAAGTACAACTACCGCTCAGCCGGTCCGAGCAATCCGGAGGAGGCTGAAGAAGATGAGGAAGGGGAAGAAGCCAGCGAATACGGATTTCAGGCTGAAGAGGAAGGTACGAGCAGCGGCTTAGTTAGCTTCGAAGCAGCTTAAGCTTGTGCTTAGGCTTAGGCTTCGGCTTAGGCTTAAGCTTAAGCTTCGTCTTAGACTAAGGCTTAGAGGCTTAGGCTATGACCACTACCTAGTTTTAGACCAAACTCCACAAGAAGAAGCTGGCCGCCGACAAGCTTCGTCGGCTCAACAAGCGCCGCCCGGTTGCCAAGGCCGCAAAAATCACGCGCATTGAGGACTTACCATTAGTGCGCCCTGGAGATATGGTCACCGGGGTCGAGAGAAACTCTGAGCACCAGCTTGACATCATCAGCACCAGGACTACCACCACTGAGTTGCCCATCAAGTTTGATGCCCGGGATTTTGATGCGACAGGTGAGAGAGGGATAGAGAAAGAGATTGAGAGAGAGAGAAAGAGAGAGAGAGAGAAGCAATCCTAAGAAACTCATTAATAATCGATTCCTTCCAGTCACCCTCAAGCCGGAAACCATTTCCGGAGACCTAACGGCATCAGAAATCGACAGCATCATCGGCGAAACCATCCTCCGACAGCCCGACTCCGAGTTTTCGCAGAACCTGGTACGCACCACATGCCCCAGAAGATTAATAACACCCCGTCGATAGGCGCGCAGCGTACACGCCCAGCCGTATGCCCTCGGCAAAACCGAATTTCGCCCGAAAATCGCGCCCGTGACGAGGACTGCGGAGATAGGGAAACCCTGGGCTGATGTGGTTTGTTTTTGCAGCATAATTTTGTGATTTTGGCTTAGCTTAGGCTTAGATTGGGCTTAGCTAAGACTTGGCTTAGGATTAACTTAGGCTTAGCTTATGCTTAGCTCCTTAGGCCTAGCCTAGGCTTAGCGTAGGCTTGGCTTAGGTTTAGGCTTAGCTTGGTCTCGGGCTTAGGCTTAGCTTAGCTTTGGCTCTGGTTTAGGCTTAGGCATAGGACTGGGCTTCGAAATTGGCTTGGGTGAACTAGCCAGTTCACGCCTATCGATTGGCCTTTAGGGGGCCTTTAAAACCAGCTCAACCATACTTCCAGGTCCGCATCGACGAATCGGAGCATCACGTACTCGCCAAATCCGTCCCGATCCCCAGCAAAACCATCCAACAATTGAGCGTGGAAAATGAGGAAATCCTGAAGAACATCGAAAATCTCCTCGTGCCACGGCCTACGGTAGGTTTTTGTGAGCCATACACTTATGCTAATCTGTCTAGGCCCCAAACAAGGAGCTCCTCCTTCCCGCCGAGATCCCGATCAGCGAGGTAAGCACTTGGATTTGTCTTTTTTGGCTTTTTAAGAGACGGCAAAGCCACAAAAATTTTTAACGGTATTTGAAAGTCCAAAATCCAAAGCCAAGAAAATGCAAAATGCAAATTTTTAGGTTTTAAGGGGACTGGGATGTGAAAGGTCCATAGATTCTGACTTCACAGCCCCTTTAAGATGGAAAGTTCGTGGTGCTAATGTAAAAAAAATAGAGAAAATTTTGATATTTCAAAGGGACCGCAAATCCATTTTTTCCGCAATCTTTTCAATCCCTTTAAAATGCAAATTTTCAGGTTCCGCTCGATGCCGGCGCGCTGGCCGAGGGAAAAATTGTGTTCGAATCGGAAAAGTAAGTTTAAGGCCGATTTTTGAAGATTTAAATTGTGATTTTTGGCTGCAATTTGCTTCAAAAATTTAACAAAATTTAATTTTTTGAAATTTTAAAATTATTTAGCTCGCTCAAACCCCTTCAAATTTGCCTATTTAGAGCGTCCAGCGTTGATCCGCTGCCCCTCTACGTCCAAGCGGCCACAAAGAATAATTAAAATGTTGTAAAAAAATTTGATTGATGGCATTTCGGGTCGAATTTTTTGATTTTGGTTTGTATAAATATTTTATAATTATTTAGATTGTTGGTTAAATACACAAAAATCGATGAAAAGTTTTTTTCAGCTCGGGCAAGGTGATTTGGGCGGGTCGCCCGGGCGCCGAGTTTTTGCCATTTACAAAAACTCTTGCTGGGGTTGCTGATATCAGCAGTAGGGCCGTCGGGTCGACACACACAACATTTCTTTCACCTCGTTTCTGGCAGGGTTATATACTTTAAATGTACATATTTATTTAAATAATTAAAGTTTAGTTTGATTATTAAAATAATCTATATTACTTATAAACTGACGGCATTTATTAGCGGGGTATTAATTGGGTTACGTAATTAAACGGCTGAAACATATTTTTTTGTCATTTTAAAAGGCTTAGGCTTAGGCTTTTTTTTGAGTGTCGTCGGGACTTTGGCATGGGACCAAGCCTACCCTGTGCAGAAATTTACGCTGATTCCGAATATGGTAACCGTTTTTGCGGTATCGCCATTTCTCGAAAGTTATGAACGATTTAAACCTCAAAACAGCCCAAAATCGGCTACTTTCGATAGTCATAAAAGGCTTCGGAATAGGTTTTAGACAAAACTTGATAGTGCATCTTTTCAGAAAAAAATTCTGTTTAAAATAAGCTACTTAACTCAAAAATGTTGGAATTTTGAAAATTTTGTAAAATTAGGGGCCTCCCGATTTATCAAGTTTTTCTACCTTTTCAATGATTTCGGAGAAGATGGTACCAAGAAGAATCTATTCCGAAGCTTTTTATGATTATCGGAAGTAGCCGATTTTGTGCTGTTTTGAGGTTTAAATCGTTCATAACTTTCGAGAAATGGGTATTCCGCAAAAACGGTTACCATATTCGGAATCAGCGTAAAATTCTGCACCAGATAGGCTTGCTCCCTTGCCAAAGTCCTGACGACACTCAAAAAAGTCTCCTTGTTAGGCTTCGGCATAGGCTTAAACTTAGGCGTAGGCTTAAGCTTAAGAGTTTCGGCTTATTTATCTAAGCTTATTAGGATTTGCTAGGGCTTAGGGATGCCGCTTTCATCACCCGAGCGTCATTTCATACTTATCAAAATTTCCAAAAAAAACTTGACTGTCACCCCGCGGGGGGTCACACGCCGATCAGCTGAAAATCGCTGATTTGGGCAACCGTTTTTTTCTACTAGTCGATTTTTGAGTGGCATTTGAAGCTGCCGATCTTGCAACCCCCCTAGGATACGGTTGCAGTTTGTGGCAGGTACACGTGCTGTGCCATCAATCACTTGGTTTCGAGTTACCTGTATTCGGCAGTACTGGCACCGGACTTTGACTGGTCGCGTTTTTTTACCTATCGGGTTTTGCGCTTGTCGGTATTTCGATTCTGAAGATTTCTATGTCGGCATTTTGCCTTTTTGGCATTTTGCCGGTCGAGATTTTGGACTGTCAGGACTGTCGGGATTCGGGATGTCGGGATTGGCCCTAGTAGGTATTTCGATTCTGAAGATTTCGATGTCGGCATTTTGCCTGTCGGGGCTGTCGGTATTCGGGATGTCGGTATTACGGCTTCCGAGATTCCAGCCTGTCAGGATTTGCCTGTCCGGGGTTTGTGTGTCGGGATTTTGCCTTGCCTGGGTCTCGGATGTGGGGTTTTCGTTGCTGCTATATTTGCCTGTCGGGACGTTGTGCCTGGGCTGTCGGGACTTTGATCTGTCGGCATTTTGGACCTCGAGATTGTAAATGTCGATATTTTGGCCACAATCCCGGAATAAGCATTGCCGCTCAACCCCCCGTCATACCCCGAGGCTATCCAGTGTGTGTTGGTTGGCCTCCTCCGGGTGTCCGGCTAGAAGAAGGGGCAGCGCCGGGGTGCCACGCTAAAAAGTGTCCCCCGCGCCCCGGGGAGGGGCCGCCGTGGACGCCAAAAAAGTGGCCCTTTTGCAGAAGGGTCCTCTCTCTCGCTCTCTCTCACTCTCTCTCTCTCTCCTCGAGTCGGTACCCCCTGGTTCGACCCCCACCGGCGGCAAAAACCGCGAGCTCCAAAAAACTGTGCGCATTCCCCCATCGCTCATCTCGCGCTGTTTTTTGGAGATTTTTTTCGGCTCTGAAAAAGTGGTTGACCGCCCGGGTTTTTGTAGTTTGTCCACGCAGCTGTTTTTTGGTGTTCAACGGAGCGGAAAGGAAATATAGATTTTAGGCCTGGCTTAGGCTTGCCTTACGCTTCGGCCTCAACTTAGGCTTAGGCCTAGTCTTCGGCTTAGCGTTGGGCTTATTTTAGGCTTAGGCTTAGGCTTGCGCTGAGCCTAAGCTCACTGTTCCGCTCCCTTTAAATTGACCTTGTCCACCTTCAAAACCCCCTCCGGCGCCTAAAAAAGGTGGAAGCTTCGCGAACGCCGCGGCTTTGGCCCCGGGCGTTCCTTTTTCAGAGACTAGAGATTAGAGGTGAAAAAGAAAGAGGGCGAGAGAAGCGACATCCCAATTTTTTGCGGCTCGCCTTTTTTGGGGTCCTCCCGCGGGGCCCAGGGGGGAGGGGGAGGAGAGGTGGGCAATACACACAGAGAGACATCATCCACATCATCTATAGCTTCTCTCTCTTTCTCCCTTTCTCTCTCTCTCTCAATCTCTCTCTCGCTCCTCTCAAGTGTGAATCAGCACTTCCTTTACCCTACTTTTGCCTCCGAATCAAACCTAATCCGCTCTTTGGCCTCGGGAAGGGGACTCGAGAAAATGGGGGGGGGGGGGCTCCAAAACCATATGTAGGGTGACAAATCTCTTTCCGCTTCCTGATTTCTGCAGAAAATGTTCTAGGAATTGTAAATTCGTTTTAAAGGGAGCGTGACAGGTCCAGGATTCGGTCAAGCGCCGGCGTTCTCATAGAATCGCACGTTTGGGCTAAGGCTTAAGCTTAGGTTTAGGTTTAGGCTTAGGCTTAGGCTTAGACTAGGCTTAAGTTCCGGTACATGCAGTGCGATTTAGACATGATGCTTTTACTAAAACGGTTCGTCTTCAGCAGCCCGCCGTAGCCATCCCCCGATGGCCGTTCCCCCGTTCGGTTTGTTTGTTCTTCTCCTTCTCTGTGCCCCGTTTTTATGGGCCTTTCATCGATCCCGACCTACCCTGCTCCGTCGGGTTGGTTCAAGCCGCCGGGGCGGCCGGGTAGCCGGAACCGGGCCGGGGTGGTCGGAGAGTTCCGGTAACCGGAAGCGGGTACGGGGCGTGGATTCCAAAAAGGGGAAGCATATACGGTAAAATCGCACCAGCTATATCTCTCTCGCTCTCTCTCGCTCTCTCTCGCTCTCTCTGGCTCTCTCTGTCTCTCTCTCTATCTCTCTTTGTAATTCTTACGCCCGCATTAAATGCCTTTCCCATTCCTTTAAAAACCTTTAAATGCACCGTGACAGCTGAAATCACATAGTTTTTCATAGATCCAACCCTTCCAAGTCCCTTTAAATCCGTCCAACCGCAGCCTCAAGCTTATAATAACGTCTCTCCAGCCTCCTCCTGGCCGACGGGAGCTTCAACGAGTCCAAAAAAGCGTTCAGACCGAGGGGACCGGTCTTGCTCCCCTCTTTCCCTCAGCTCCTCCTCCCCTCCTCGCGGCCACTTTTTACAAGTATATATTTATGTATGCCTCTCTTCCTCCTCCTCTTTTTCCATCCCATTCCTCTCTACACCCTCCCAGGCTGTGCTGCGGCTTTTTTGGGCCTGAACGCGACGGCTGGGGCGAGAGGGAGATAGAGAGTGAGAGAGAGAGACAAAGAGAGAGAGAGAGAGAGAGAGAGAGAGAGAGAGAGAGAGAGAGAGAGAGTGATCAAGCCTGCCGCAGTCCATTTTTTGCCGATGGCTCGGGTCACAGGACGGTGCCGACAAGTTTTTGCCTATTAATCTTGGGCGGCGAGACCGAAGCCGGGTCAACTTGGAGTTTGTCGCGTTTTATTTTATCTGGATTTTTAAACTTTTTTTTGGCATTATGCTGTCACTAACTCTTTCAATTTTGGCTATTGGAAGCCTTCAAAAAAGATTTATTAGCATGATCCAGGTGTCACTGCCCCTTTAAAGGCTTTAAAAGCGTTAAAGAAACGAGTAAATTGCTGAAGATACCTAAAAAGGCCCTAGAGCTATCTCCGGAATTAAACTTAAGCTAAGGAGCCTAAATTCCTGAATTCTTATCCACTTTAAAGGGAGCGTGACAGGTCATGAGATCGTCTACTTCGCCCTATCTCTCTCGCGCTTTCGTATGCAGCTCTTTCTGACTATCCACCTCTCTATCTATCTCTCTCTCTTTCTCTCTTTATCTCTCTCTCCCACTCTCTCTCCCGAATTCTCGCTTTCGATACGCTCGCTCTCCAACTACAGCTTTCGATCTCTCTCCCTCCCTTTCTCTCGTTCTCTCTCTCTATCATTCTCTCTATCTCTCTCTCTCGCTCTTTCTCTCACACTGTCTTTCTCACGCTCTCTCTCCCGCACTACCCCCCGCCGCCTACACTCCGGCTTTTAAAGGGATCGCGACACCTATTTCTATCCAACTCGCTTTGACATACACCTTCCCATTCACATTGCAACCTTCTTAAAACCTTCCGAATCTCGGATCCCGGCAGTTCAATCACCCATCCCTTCCCCCTTTTTCCATTCCATTCCACCAAACACCCCGTTCCCCCCGGAGTCTCCAGTAGTTTTTTGCCGCCTTCCCCCCGTCCGCCCGCTCTGCTCCACCCAGTCGCCCGGGTCCATTTTTTGCCGGCTCTACTGGGGGCCCCGGCCTGCCGCCCTATTCTGCGCCCGTTTTTCGGCCCCTTCTTCCCCTCTGCCCCTCTACGCTCTCTACACACTCTCGCCGTCCCCCGTTCCGGCCCGGCCACTTTTTCCGCCGTCCGTCCGTTCCCCCTACCCCCTCTCCGTTCCCATCCAACAACCCTCTACCACCACCATCCCCCCATCCACGCTCGACGTTCCGTAGTGCTACGGAATTCTTAAAAATGTGCATGGTTTAATAAAAGAGTAACTATCTCTCCCTTTCTCTCGTTCTCTCACTCTCTCTCGTTCCCTCTCTATCTCTACCTCTCTCTATCTATCGCTCGCTATCTCTCGCTTCCTTGTTCTCTCTCGCTTACACGGCCTATTCTTCCCTTTTATCGCTTTATCGTTGTAATTCTCTCGTATGATGCTTGCCACTCTCTGTAAAACCCCTAATTTGCATAAAAATATTCTTTTCGTGTTCGCAATCCCTCTTCACGCTGTCTTTCTTCCTCTATCTAGCTCTCTTGTTTTCTCTCTAGTTCTCTCTCTTTCTCGCTCTCCCTCATTCACCCTTGCTCTCCCTCTCTCTATATTTATCTCTCTCCGGTTCCCTCTCTTGCTCTCTCGCCCGTCCGTCCATCCCTACCATTTTCTATATCACCTGGCCATCTCCCTTTTTCGATACCATATATATTTTCAATCCTTCTCTCCCCGCTCGCTCTCTCACTCACTCTCTCTCTCTCTCTCTCTCTCTCTCTCTCTCTCTCTACCTTCTATTCGATATGATCTCCCGGCCGTATCTTCTTCTTTTCCTCAAGCCCCCTTTTTCTAAATTCTGCCCTTTCCCCCCTAGTGGAACGTGTGAACGGTTTTTGCTGTGGCAGGCACCCGGCTTGCCCGGCTGGAAAACGCTTTCCGCCCGTTTGATTTTTTTGTCACACGATTCTGGGGGTTTGTCTATCGTTTTCTGGCTGTATTCGTCTTTCACCTTTTCTCTCGCTCTTGCTCGCTCCGGAACTTCTGGAAAAACACGATTTAAAGAGTCGAACAAAAAGCCCTTATAATTCTTGTATAATTCTCTCGCTCTTGCGCTTCCTCTCTCTCGCTCCCTCTCTCTCTCTCGCTCTCTCCCTTTCCGTCTCTGTCTCTGTCTTTCTTTGTCGCCGGCTCGCTCTCTCGCTCAAGGTGAAAATGCGCAACATTCAGGTTATGACAACAGTCAAACTCTCGTTTTCCCACCTACCGTAACCCCAGACTTTTTACCAGTCTCTATCTCCTTCTCAACGCAACAATTTCCCACCGATTTCCCCTTATAAGCGCCCCACTAATTCGCACTGGGACCCAGAAAATCTCTCTCTCTCTCTCTCTTTCTCTCTCTCTCTGCCACCGCAGATTACCTTTTTTTGAGCCCCTGGGATGGGCCCTCAGGGCCGGAAATCGGGCCTCTCCCCCTCATCGCAACATTTTTACATCCAGCCCTTTTTATATCGGATCTGTGGGGATTTTGCGGACCTCTCTAATCGCTGGGGGACCATGGAAAATCAGCAGAGCCGAAGAAATGTGACTGAGTTCTTCCTAGACACGAATACGGCTTTATTTTAAAGGGATAGGTTAGGTAGTTTTATGGATCGTGCTCATCGCGAACGCATTCGAACCCCAAGATAGCGCTCAATCAGCGAGCGCGTTGCGTTTCGCGGCTTGCTGTATCCATAAGAACCCGAAGCCATTAGTGTAACTTGCAGGTGCCTTTAAAAGAACTGGGAAGCGAGCCCAATCCTGTGCTTGGTTAGTCTTGATTTGGCTTAGGCTTGGCTTAGGCTTGGCATAAGCTTAGGCTTAGGCTTAGGCTTAGGCAAAGCTTAACTTGTGCTTAGGTTTGGCTTGATTTGAAGCGGGCTTTGCTGAAGTTAGGCTAGACTAGTTTCTAAGCCGAGATTTTTTTTACTTTCTCTCACTCGCTCTCTAAATCTCTTTCTCTACCTCTCACTCGCTGTGTGTCTCCCTCCCTCCCTCTCTCTCTCTCTCGTTCTCTCTCTCTCTCTCGTTCTCTCTCTCTCTCTTTCCCCCCTCTCTCTGTCTCTCTCGCCGTACCCAACGGTCATTTGGCCTTTCAGGGCCCCAATTCTCCCCAAATTGCAGGTGTTCCCCAATTGCCAATCGCAACATTTTCATGCTGTTCTCCATTTTTTCTAGCAAAAGATTAGCCCCCTTGGCGCCTAATCTGGGTCCCGAGGCGTTCCCCTGGAGATGTGGGAACGGCGTCCCTTCCCATCGAAAAGGCAACATTCTTCGGGGAGAACCCATTCTCGTCGGGGGCCCCGGGCGAAGCGCGAAAAAAGCGCGGCAATTGCCCGGCGGGCAGCGGCTAGATTAGGGGCAAAGAAATGGGCTTCATCTTTTTTTTTCTACGCTTTCTCACTCTGGTTTTAGATAGCTCGCGCTCTATCTCGCTCTTGCTCCCTGACTCGCTATATCTAGCGAAAGCTCATGCTCTCTCGCTGGAGCTCCAGATTTCTTCCGCAATCTGTTGTTGTCAAGCAGTCTCTCTCTCTCTCTCTCTCTCTCTCTCTCTCTCTCTCTCTCTCGCTACATCTCGCGACCGCTCTTGCTCCTTTACAGTGGCGCTCAGGCGCTCTTCTGCTGACTCTCATGCTCTCTCGCTCTCTCTCATGCTAACTCGCTCCCTGTCTCGCGCTGGATCTCTCTAGCTCTCTTTCTCTCTCACTCTCTCTCACTCTCTCACTCTCGCTTTATCTCGCTCTCTCTCACGCTCTCTCTCTATCTCTCACACAACACTCTCTCTCTCTCTCTCTCTCTCTCTCTCTCTCTCGCTCTATCATGCTGGCTGGAAAGATCCAGCAAAAGATTTACCCAGCCTTTAATTCAAGTTTATGAAGTTAAAGGAACCTGGAAGGCATTTTTCTCCCTTTCCTTGATGTCACCATCCTTTTAAAGCCAATTTTCCCTTTTCCTTTCGGATCACTAAATGTTGCCACAACTACAGTAGTACCTCATTTACCTTCCTGTCACCCTGAATTTAAATCCCCAATGAGCTCTCTAATTGTCTTCTTTCTTCACTTGCCCGACCTAACCACGTAACCCTCTTTTTCAGCGCCCAGCGCCCGACGTGGGGCCCCCCGGAAAGGCCGGCTATCAAATAGCACGGCGGGGCCAGCACCTACAGTATCCCCTTTGACTATATCTATTTTGTGCCGGGATCAAATCCCTAAATCTTGGTGAGTGGATGGATTACGGTAGATGGGGCAGATTTTAGTAAACATGTCCGACTCCGGGAATACCCCATCGCCATCCACGGTGCCGAGCACCACATCTTCTTGCGTGTCGACGACGGCGACGAGGTCGGTTAGAGAGAGAGAGAGAGAGACAGAGAGAGAGAGAGAGAGAGAGAGAGAGAGAGAGAGAAAGCGTGATTGCAACATACAAAAATTTCTGCAAAATACTCAAGGCAAGTTTTCCAGAACAACGCCGATCACCACAAAATCCCCAATTCCGACGTCGCTCTCGGAATGGCAGCTCCTTGCCGTACTTCAGAAGGCCAACCTCGTCCAGTATTACGATATCTTTATATCGCAAGGTATTTTTGTTATTTAGATACACGAAGAGAGAGAGAGAGAGAGAGAGAGAGAGAGAGCGAGAGAGAGGGAGAGGGAGAGGGAGAGAGGCGCACAGAGCACCAAGTCGATTTCGGCTTATTTTCGAGCTCCTCAGGTCATAAAATCCTTAATTACAGGTGGCGATGACATCAATCAGATTATGCAGTGTGACGAGTCGGAATTTCTGGAGATCATGTCGTTGGTCGGGATGCTATCAAAGCCGCTACACGTCAGACGACTTCAGAGGACGTTGAATGTAGGTGGAGATTCATCTCCCTGGTTTTGTCTTTCTCGCTCTTTCTCTCCCTCTCCCTCTCTGTCTCTCTCTCTCTCTCTCTCTCTCTCTCGCATTTTTTCGAGCGGCCCCTGACACCACCCCTTCAAAGTTTCCCTAGCTGTGTTTCGGTAGATGAATACAAAAATATCAGGTTCTCTCTCTCCCAAACTCTCTTTCGCTCTCGCTCTCTCTCTCTCTCTCTCTCTCTCTCTCTCTCGCCATTCCATAGACTCCTTTTTACGGTGTGCCCGGCGTCTCTATCCGTCTCCATTCTTTTTGCACCTCTTTTTCCGAGGCACTCCGCTCGGGGCGCCTGCAATTTGTCATCGAACACGTCGTCCCGGACGGGACGGTCGGATTAAAGGGACTACGAAATAGAAAAGTAGAAGTTCCGCAACGAATCTCTGCTAGCTTGCTCAATTTTGGGAGCTTAAAACGCATCATCTAAAGCAAACAAACTAGGAGAGAGAAAGACAGAGAGAGAGAGAGAGAGAGAGAGAGAGCTAGAGAGAGAGAGAAAGAGAGGGAGAGAGAGAAGGAGCTACAGAAGCCGTTCCTTCCCCCAAAACGATCCACTTTTTCTAGATTTCCTGGAGCACAAAGAATCCATTCTGCCCCTTCTCCCGGCCAGTTTCGAGACTTTTTCTAACCATTCCGCCCTGTCTCTTCTTTTAGCCTCCCCTTTTCCCTGCCTGGGAATACTATTCGGAGAGATCGACGACTGGGGGGGGCTGACTGGTTTCTTTCGGGAAAGTTCGGAAGTTGGGGAAGGAATATAGCTAGCTGAATCTGGGGAAATCAGAATAAAGATGTAAAGATCTAAGGAAAGATAAAGGAAAAATCTATCTCTCATTCTATTTTTCTCCCTCCCTCTCTCACGCTGTCTCTCTCACTCTCGCTCTCTCACTCTCTCTCCCTCTCTCTCCCTTTCTCGCGCTCCCTCACTATTACCATTTTGAAGCCTGAAAAATGTCTAGTCTACCGTAACCTACGTTTTCGAGCTCCAGGAATTTTTCAGGATTTCTCGAAAGACCCGGCCGCCTTCAACCTGGCCGCCATCCCGCTAATTGGCGCCCCGCCAATGCCGAATTTTCCGGCTGGCGGCAATCCGATTGACTTCTTGTTGCCGGGAGGTGTGTTAAAAACTAATCAATCAATAAACTAAAAACTTGTAAATAAACATTTTTAGAAAAAATAAAAGAATAAAAAACAATAAAACTAAAACTAAAACTATCTAAAATGTATTCCATTTTAGCAGTGACACTCGGGGCAGCCCTCCAGCAAAGTCCGTCGCCCTCCCTCTTCTCGACCGAGACTATCCCGGCGTTCTCAACGAGTTCAGCGGCCACCAGCACGACCAAGACACCAATTCCCACCCCTGTTCCAATCAGTGAGTCCTAAACTTGCCCCAGTTACCGTAACCTAACCGTTTCTAGCCGCCATCGACTTCACGAACCCGATCAGCGCCATTGGGGCCACGGCCAATGTATTATCCGGAGATTATTTGCAGACCTTAAGTGAGTTTTTGGATTTTTCGGGGCTTATATTTTATGGGTGTACCCTAAAAAATGACCTAACTACCGTAATCCAGTGGCCTCGGCGGTGGCCCAACAGCAGCAACAACAACAGAGCGTCACCACCAAGTTCAACGAGCACAACATTACCACTGCAAATAGCAAAGACCCGAATAGTATGAGGATCACGAAGGTAAGCTTTTTAGGCTTAGGGTTAGTTTAGGCCCAAGCTTAGGCTTAACCCTAAGCTTGGGCTTGGGCTTTGGCTGAGGCTTAGGACTGTCCTAATTACAAATTACAGCGGTACGCCGTCTTTAAAACCTCATTAGCACAAAAGCGTAGTGATTACGGCACTCAACGTCATACTTCAGAGCGGAATCCCCTCCTCCTCAAGCAGTCCACACATCAGCTCGACGGACGACTACGTTGCGCTAGGAGATTTTGATCCGAGTGGGTAGCCAGATCTATCTCTATCTCATCCTCTCTCTCTCACACGCGCTTTCTCGCCCCCTCTCTATCGCTCTCTCTCTCTCTCTCTCTCTCTCTCTCTCTCTCTCTCTTCTCTCTCTCTCTCTCTCTCTCTCTCTCTCTCTCTCTCTCTCTCTCTCTCTCTCTCTCTCTCTCTCTCTCTCTCTCTCTCTGCTCTCTATCGGTACCTTGCACAACAGCTTATTTAGATGGCCCTCAAACCGAAACGCCAACCCTTTCTGAAGCTCAGGTCCGTCGTCTTCTCCAATGTGCGACAGCGGTTTGGAAAAAATTATAATCTGTTCATATCATCTTCAGCTCGTCCAGAACTTGCCCAAGTTGGCGCCAAAGCTGGTGCAGAATAAAAAGCGGATAAGCCAGTATGTTAATCGACTCGGAGATAGAGATCAGATCTTTAGAGAAATCATCGACGTCATGACGGGGAACCCGCCTCGCGTTGATGATTATCGCAAATTTTCGGCCATTTACGGGCGCTTTGATGCGAAGCGGAAACCGGAGAAGGTAGGTCGGATCGGGGGCAGGCGAGCTGAGATCCCTGCGGAAGTGGAAAATATAGAATGGCATGCTAGCAAAGATGAGGAAAAATATCTTGAGGAAATAACAAAGATGTCTTTCAGATTTTGACGCTCCACGAGGTCTCGGTGAACGAAGCTGCTGCTCAACTCTGTATGCTGTCGCCGGTGCTGTTAACGCGACGGGATGAACTGTTTCCGCTTGCCAGACAGGTTCGAAGCCATGTCATGCTCCCTCTAAAAAAGAGATAGAGCTAGAGAGAGAGAGAGAGAGTGAGAGAGAGACCCGGTTGCCGTCCCGCTTTCTCAAGGGGTACACGGTGGCACCATTTATTGGCTTAGGGGTTTTTTCCGCGTGGCTACGGGGTGCGGGCGAGGGAAGAAGCAAAAAGCACCATCCGTCGGTCGTCGGGCCCTTTTTCCGACGCGAAACGGGGTGACGGGGAAGGGATCTCGCGTTTTCGGGAACTATGGATTTTGGGGGACTCTGGGAAATCGGAAAAATAATTCCACGAAGAAAATCTGCTGGTTTCGTTGAAATTCTACGTTGGAACGTTCCTTTTTCCGCTTTCTATTTAGGTAGTAAAAGACGCCGGCTACCACTACACAAAAAGCCGCGAGCGGAAGCGGAAGGAGGACAATGACGGGGCCGATAGTTCACCATCGATCAGGTAGTAAAATTACGCCTTCCCGTAGGCTTAAAAATACCTAATCAGCACGCGTAATGTCGGCCACTCCTATGCTTTTAGCCCCGCCCCCTCCCTAAACGATGACGACGAACAGTTCGAAGAAAAGCGTCGTCGTCTTGACGTCGTCAGCTAGGAGGTCAGCGGGAAGCAAAAAAATGCAATTTTGGTTATATTTTTGCCCTCAAAAAAGTCCTTCAAATGTGATTTTCAGATCGTTTCGGGACCCGAGATCAACGCCATTTATCCCCAAAGAAGCTTTATCCAACCCCATCAACACACATAGTCAATTCTACCGTATTGTGATCACAATTTGCATATCCTACCGTATACCCATGAACAGCTTTTTCGATTTTTTTGATGTTTTAATAGCTATTTCTATGTTTAATTTTTGAAATCACGATCTAGTTCTCCAGCCCGATTTTGTGGATCATCTACCGTACCCCATTTATTCGATTGCGCGATGTATTGACCCCAAAAACCTGATACTCGACCTAGTCGCCCACCAGAGAGCGTTTGACGCATTAATGGATAGGTCTACGCTAAGCCTAAGCTAAGCCTAAGCCTAAGCCTAACCCTTGTCTATTCCGTGCTTTAGACGTTGATCTTTTCGTTTTATGCACCGAGTGCTAGACACAATTATGCAAATTTGATTTGTTCGATTTTTGCGCTAGAAAATTGCCCAAGCGAGAGAGAGAGAGAGAGAGAGCGAGAGAGCGAGAGAGAAGGAGAGAGATAGCGCTGAACTCACCGTAGTTTCGGCGATTTTCAAGCCATTTTTATGCTATTACTGTGCTATTCCCGATTTACCGTATGACCGTATTCCATTGCATTCCGCTTCCACAGAACTTTGGCGTTTCCAAAACGTCGTTCCCGAATCCAAATCCGCCCTCCCTATCTGGTCGCCCCGCGTAGACAATTCCAAAGGAATAAATTTTTTGGTGTTCACGATTGGCAAATGGCAGTTTCGGCAGTTTTTGCCGATTCAAAAAAATTTTAGCAACTACACCAGGACTTCCCAAATTTTGCATCAAACCTCCTGTTTCGGCACTATTTTTGGTGCTCTTGCAGATGCAAAACCATGCAAAATTTCGGACATTTGAGCCGCTATTTGAGCATTTACTATCGATCAGATATTTACATCTGCAGGAGCTTCAAAGATAACGTCGGAATGAATTTTTCCTCAAAGGTGGCAATGTGGGTCGGTGATCCAAAATTTTATTACGTTTGGACCTGGCATGGCAGAAAGATCTAGAGCGAGAGAGAGAGAGAGAGAGAGAGAGAGAGAGAGAGAGAGTGAGAGAAAGCGCATCCAATCCCAAATGGGCATAAACAGACACACACAGATATTGGCCAGCTAGCCGGCCAGCCGGGGCTGTAAATTCGGGCCCAAAATTGGGATTTGGGCGGATGAAGCTGTGGGTGACCTTTATTGCATTTTACGGTCAAATCCCGCCCGAGAGGGCATCGATTCGATTCGGAGGTTTCAACTTGGAAACCGGCTTCCGGTTTTCGAGGTTTTCTACCGTATCTTCTGAGTTGATCAAGGAGGATTACGGTAAGTCTTGCTATCAGGCTAAGCTTAACTTAAGTCGAAACTTAAGCTGAGATGGAGGTACGCCTGTGTCGAACCTAAACGGCGCCAAACCTTAAACTTCCTTCTGCGCTTAAAAAACCAAAAAATCTTAATTTAAGCTAGAACGCGAGCCAGAGCTGAGTCCAAGCCCAAGTCAAGGCCTTAAAACGTTCTCAAAAGCATGGAAAAATACGGTAATTTCAAGCCGGACTACTACTCAAAATGCGCAAAAATTTGAAGCTGCCATAGCTTGGCCAAAAATCCGCTTCGACGACATTTCACTCATCTTTATACCACTGCACTTTTTGCACCCCGTCAAACCTCGTAATTTCCGGAGTGCCGCGTAGGGGCATGGGCCCCCCAGGACCACGGCCCCTTCGCCCCCTGTTTAATTGACTCATCCGACTCATTTCGGGCATTAACATGCTGATGGGGCCCACCCACGAGAGGGCCCAATTCGGGCCACTGGGCCTTATGTTGGCCGCTGGGGCATTGGGGCAATGGGGGGTGATGTCTGGGTCTCTGATTCTCTGCACTCTCTGCGTGTACTTGCCCAGGAAGGACGTCTCAATCTCGGTGGTACGGTAGCTGGGAGGTGGGGGAGTTTCGGGCGTGACTTCGGCTCGACTTGAGCTTAGCCTTGGCTTTGACTTAGGCTTAGCTTAGGCTTGAGCTTAGGCTTAGGCTTAGACCAAGGCTTAGGCTTAGGCTCAGGCTTAGGCATAAGCTTAGGTACTTTCCACCCATTTCCAGCATCCTCCAGCCCAGATCAATGTTGTACCGCCCGAAAGGGACCAGGGTGGAATTATTTAGCAGCAGATTGGGGTAGGGGTTGATGTCCGAATCGAGAGAAAGGGGGGCCCATGTCCATGGGCCCCCTTCTGGTCCTGTGGCCCTCTCAATTTCGTCCCCCCCGCCAATGCCGCAATGTCAAATGGAATACAAAAGATGGGCACCCCAGAAATAGAGAGGGAGTGAGAGAGTGAGAGAGAGAGAGAGAGATGCTGCAGCCCCTGGGGCCCAATTAAGGGCCCACCCCACGAAGGGCCGATGGGCTGCTGGGCGGAAATTTTGTTGTAGGGGTGGCTTTTTCAACGATGGATGGTGGAATAAGCTGCTTTTTGGCACCTTTGAACGGCAAGCTTAGCTTTTTTTTCTTCTGCTCTCTCCCTCTCTCTCGCTCCCTCTCTTGCTCTCTCTCGCTCTCTCGCCTCGCCCCTTTTCCAATGACGTTTTCTAAAATCCAAAGTACCCAGACAAAAATAAATCCCGAAAATTGCTTGTTTCCGAAAGCCGTGCACCATTTCCCAACTTTTTATTTTTTCACTTTTCTGCAACTGACCCTTTATTCCGGGGATCAGTCCCCAAACCCACAATAACCGTCTCTCTCTCTCTCTCGCTGTCTCTCTTTTTCTCTTTCGCTCTCTCTCTCTCCGCGCGTAGCGCCTCTTCTTTGTCTCGCCTTTTCGGGGCCCCACCCCAGAAATATTGCAGTTACGGTAAAAGGTGCGGATTTGGGGCCCCAGCCCTTGTCAACCCATGGGATTTGCGCGTAAACGGGGAGTGGTGTGGCCCGGAAAAGCGGGCCATATTGGAAATCCACCCTCGAAATCGTGACAATATTCCGGCGATCTGCCTCCGCCCCACACTAAACCCCACACCCCACGATAATCCCCGAACTTTCGGCGGGTGTAAAAAGGAGCCCCACGGATCGGCAACTTTATGCCGCGAATTCTGCTGTGTGGCTAATTACTTGAGCAGAGTTTGAGGTAATTTTTGAAGTTATGAAACCGAAGCCTAAGCCTAAACCTAGCCGAAGCTGAAGCCAGGTCAAACCGACGCCAAAGCCAAGCCAAAGCCTAAGCCAAGTCTACGCCAAGCCCACTAAAATCCAAGCCCGTCGAGCCATTAAAGGAGACGGGAAGGCATAAAGACCTAGAAAGTCTTGCTATTTTAGGAACTCCGACAAGCTGCTTTTTGAGAATTTATTGGCAGCTTGGGAATCTGGCTTCATCCTGGCCTCACAGCTCCTCCAAAAACAGGGGATTTTGGCTTAGGATCTTGGCGTTGGCTTAGGCTAAGGCTTAGGCGAGGCGGGCACGGGCTTAGGCTTACGCTTGCGCTAAGGCTTAGCTTAGGCTTAGGATTCGGTTTAGGCCTCGGCATGGGCTTAGACTTAGGCTTAGGTTGCTTAGGCTTCGGCTTCGACCTTGGCTTAATCATAGGCTTAAGCGTAGGCTTAGGCTGACGCTTAGGCTTTAGCTTAGGCTTAATGTTGGCCCTTACTTAGGTTTAGGCTTAGCCCTAGGCTTCGGCTTAGGCTTGGCTAGGCTTATTGCAAGGTTCAAGCTTCAGCCTCCCCAACCATCATTCCGCCCTTTCAAAGGCCCGCAACTGGCAGGTGAATTCCGGGGAATTCATCCCCTCGTCTGGCCTATGGAATTGAATTGACGACCCAAAAGGGCCAGGACCCCGATCACTAGGCGGTCGTAGTCTGTCTGTGTGTATGTGGTGTGTGTGATCAGATTGAAGAGTCAAATGGAAAGGGCCCAAATTGAGTGGGCACGACCCCTCCCCACCGGGCCCCACGTGGTCTGCCGTATTCTCTCGTACTGCTAATTTTGATCGTCCTCCGGATCCGGGTGTACTTGTATTTATGGAATTAAGGAGTGCCTTGGTGTTCACACCTGCCCTCATCTGGCAATATGCTTAATTAGGGCCCTTCTTGGGGGCGCTGGGATTGACCTACGGTAATGGGGCTGACTGGCTGTTTCCCAAAAATCGCTGCTAGCTTGTTATCTATTTTCCCCTAAGCATCCCCCTGCTAACTACCCCGGTCCTTTTTGTGAGCTAAATGTCTCTGCTGGGTCGTCTGCTCGGCTTTTCTAATTTTCCCAAAGAATCTCCACCAGTTTTCCAATTCTCCTAACAATCTCTGCTCATTGATCTGCGCTGCAGAATTCCCAATTTTCCTCAAAAATCTTAGCCTGCTTGCCCGACTTTGCTTGCCTAACTCGGTTAGATTTAAGCTTAGGTTCGTTTAAGCTTAGGCTACGTTGTAGCTTAGGCTTGGTTGAGCTTCGCTTCGGCCTATGACTGGATTCAGACTTAGGTTTAGGCTTCGCTAGGGAATAGACTTAGGCTCAAGCTTCGTTTAGGCTTAGGCTTCATTTGGGCTTCGGCTTCGTTTGGGCTTCGCTTGGCTCTGGATTGGGCCGAGGCTTATGCTTAGACTTAGGCTTAAGCGTGGGCTCAGATCATAAACGCATTAATGGTAAATTCTTTCCGTCACCGACTTCGATTCCAGTTTCAATGCCAGGGTTCTATTCCTCGATTCGGTCCTCATCGCCGCAGCCGGACCCTTTTTCCTCCCCCTTTAATTAAACCTCATCAACGGCTTGGTCGGGGGTGGCTGTGGCTGTGGCTGGGCCTCACTGCCCTCCCTTTCTGCAATGACCGAATGTCATTCAACCGGCTGTAGGGGGAGGGGAGGGGAGGGGAGGAGGAGGAGCCCATTCTGCACACCATACATTCACTGCTGTGTCCATGAATTCCGGCCACGCATCAGTACCATGTCGATAAAATGGGCGGGTAAGGCGTGCTTATCGATTTTTCAGAGACTACCTGCTTAGGCTTGGGCTTAGGTTTATAGGCTATCCCCTAAGTCTTGGCTTAGGCTTAGGTTTAGGCGTAGGCCTAGGCTTCGGCTTTCGTTAGGCTTAGGCGTAGGCTGAGGCTTAGGTGTAGGCTGAGGCTTAGGCTTCGGTTGCGGTTCAAGCTTCAGCTGGATTTCAGCTTAATCGTGTCCTAGCTTCAGCCTCTAGGCCTCTTTCGGAGGTTTCTTTTGGCTCTGACTTACGTGGCTTAGCTCTGGCTTAAGCTTTGACTTAACTCGAACAGGCTCCTTACCTCGTCAAAAACCCCTGCTAGCCTGCAAAACGTGATTTTTATACGAATTTGCTAGCTCGGTTGCAGAGAAGATCCCAAATGATTTTTGCTATTTTGCCTAGGAGCCTTTTAGCCAATTTCGCAAACCATCGTCGCTAGCTTAGGAGCCTTTTAGCCAATTTCGCAAATGATCTTTGCTATCCTACCAGTCTATGCCGAATTCTAAACCAAAGTTTCCCCAAAAATCTCGGCAAGCCTTCGCTGGATTCCATTCAACCCTACCCCAAATCAATTGTCCCATTCCGCACTAATTCCACGTACCATTTCCACCTGCCCGGGGTCCGCTGTGGGCCCTAAGCCAGCCAGTGCCTTCCCCGTGCTCCGGCTAGCTTGCCGCTTGCCAATTTCCGCTTTGCTACTAATTTCCACCCTCGCACACACGTCCTCATTCCAATATTCTTGTGCTAATTTCGGTCTCGACTAGTTTTACTAATAAATTTCTAGAAAATGCAATTAAAATCTATCCGTCACGTTCCTTTCAAATTCCTAAAGAAACTCTGCTAGCTTGCTCCCCTTGATAGAGCTTAAAATGACTGCTGGTTGGATTTTCGAGGTTCCGGAAGGATTTTTGCTACCCTGTCTTCCTACTTTTTACGATATTCCAAAAACAAAGCAGATCTTGCCTCAAGAAGTTTTTTAATCTTCTACGAATCTCTACTAGCACGCCCTACATTCATTTAATTTCGAAATAGTCTCTATTCAGCAGCGTATGTGGGTTCGACGTTACGATACGATGCAGTACGCTCCAATGCGATATGTACGCCACGCTACGAGACGATGCGATACGTTACGTCACGATACGATACGATACCTTACGTTACGCTTTGCGATGCAATACGATACAGTACGTTACAATACGATACGATACATTATGGCCACAATACGATAAGATACGATCCGATCCCGATACGTTACCATACGATACAATACGCTCACGATACGTACAATACGATCCAATACAAGGCGATACGATACGATCGGATAGGTACGAGACGCTATTCTTTGCTACGATGCATTCTCGTACGTTACGTTACGAAAGATCCAGCAGGATACTCGTGCCAAAATTACGTTAGTGAGCCTTACCCGACCTTCCGGCACGCTCCAATATGTTCTACGCTGCAACATAACGCTGCAGCTGGTCAAAATACGCTCCAATACTAGAAATTACGTTGCGCTACGCCAAAATTACACAACACGCTGTTCCCTACGTAAGAATACGCTAGGTACGCAACTTTACGCGGTCATACTATGCGTGAGTAGGCGTTACGATACTTCGTGCTATCTATCCCAATCCCATCCCATTCCCCGCCTTATAAAGTGTCCCGGGGCGATCGGTATTCTCCAGTTAATAGCACGCCCACCGACTGCTGTTATTGCTCGAGAATACTCATTGCCCGGGGTCCATCCAGCTGTCACCGTCCCTTAAAAAACTGAGCCTACGGGATCGCGCCAATTGCTATGATTTTGTAGGTCATTTAGGTAATTTACATACCTCAAATCCAAATTTTGAATGACCTGTATTGTTTTGATGCATACTGTAGCCAAAATTTTTCATTTTCTGTAGCATTTATATCAAAATTTTAGTCGAATAAATCACATTGACCCGTGAGTATGAATGTATTATTAATAATCGTGATAATAATTAATATAATAAATGCCATAAAGCGAGAATGACAGTTGCGTCAATGGTACAGGGACGAACAATATTTGGAGCGTTGCGTAGTCGTATTTGGCGTTACTGTAGCTGCGGGCGTGGTCCGGTGCCACTCGCGTCGCTTTGAGCATAGCGGGAAGGAGTCGGACTCGACGAACGGGCGGCGTTTTCTGAGGAGTATTGGTAAGCATAGGCTTTGGTTTAGGCTTAGGCTCAGACTTAAAGCTTAGGCTTGCTTAGTCGTGGGCTTAGGAATAGGCTTAAGCTTACCGGAATGTAGTTGCTGAAAGCGTATTCGAGAGACAACACGGCCAAACTATCAATTCCAGTCAATCGCGAAGAGATCTTGCCATCCGGAAACTCCGGGAAACGATGACATATACGAGGGTGAACACCTGAGGTTATGATGGTTTACCCCTCGCTCTCTCTCTCTCTCTCTCTCTCTCTCTCTTTCCCTTATCCACTTACCATTGTCAAAAACAACGGCACAAAATCCAATGGAAAATCGGCCATCGTATTGTAGAAAACACCGTGCTGGCCGTCTTCCAGGATTTGGTACTCGTCGAAGAGGTGCGCCGTGCAGTTGTTCTAAACTTTTGAGATAGTTTCTCTCGCCCTACCTGGCTCATCTCTCCTACGCCACCTACCTCGAGTTTTGGCAGCGGATCCTTGGCGATGTTCGCCCAGAATGTCGAAAATATCAGGGCTCCGCAGAGAGCCTGTCCGGCAAAACAGAGCCCTAAAATTGGAAATTGTATTTTTGGGATCACCTTAGGGTTCGGCGTTGGGCTTAGGCTTTGGCTTAGGATTAGGCCCTCGCCGTAGGCTTCAGCTTAGGCCTCAGACTGCGGCATACCCGTAGGCCTACCTTCAAATTCGTAAACGGCAAAAAGTATCCGCACGCAAAGCAGCCGGTCACCAGCGCGGCGAAAGATCTATAAAAATGCCAATTACCGTATCCCAGCTAACAAACACCTACAGTAAGATGTAGAAGCTGATGGGCAGGAATTTCGCGTACGATACTGGCGATAGGCCGACACCCAGACTCCAGCAGTATCAGGAGTTACCGTAACTTTCAGGGTCGTTGCCTAAAAGAAATTGGTTTTACGGGGGCGTTGAAGTTAAGCTTGTTTTATTTGAGCTTAGGTTTCGCCTCATCGCTTAAGCTTAGGCTTAGGCTTCGATTTAGGTTTACCTGCAAAGCGCATAGCTGCTGCACCTGCGGCCATTCTTGAAGCAGTGGCTTTAAGAATTCCTATAATAATTGGATTTTTGGGTTACTTTAGCTCACGCCGGTTCTCTAAGAATCTTTAGCTAGCTTGTCCCTCTTCTTAAGAATCTCCGCTAGCTTAGCTTAGGCCATCGTTCCCTCTTAAAACCCAAAACCCACCTCCCAAATCGTCGACACCAATCCGACAAAGATCCATTGATAAGCAAACATTAACAGCAAAACGATCGATACCGAGACGAAAAAGGACAAAATTGAGCCCGTGGCACCTGAAAAATACATTAAAACGCTAAATTTACGATAGCTCACCGTAAACCGAATAAATTCGGAGTAGGCTGGCTGCAGAATAAGAGAGACGACAGTGCTCTTGTAGAAAGTGAGTGAAGATTTGGGCGATGAGGAAGGTGAAAGATGAGAGGAAGACGAGGAATGCTGCGTGGAGGGAGGCAAAGACGAAGCTATGGCGGGTGGAGAGGAGAAATACATCTGGAATGATTAGGGTTAGACTTCGTTTAGGCTTGGCTTGGCTTAGGTTTCAACTTACTTAAGCCTAAGCTACGGTTTGGGTCCATGAGTAGTCGGCTTCACTTTTTGCACAAAGCCTGACTTGATTTTGCCTTTTGTCAGCTTGACTTGGGTTGGCTTAGGCTTAGGATTAGGATTTTGCATAGGCTTAGGACCCTGGCTTAGGCATAGGCTTAGGATTGGACTTAAGCTTCGTTTAGTCTTAGCTTAGGCTTAGGCTTGGGCTTGGTCTTAGGCGTGGGAATTTCCCTTTTAAACTTTAAAATACCTGATACATCGACTGCCCGGCCGCCAATTGATAGAATCCCATAAAAAATCCAATAACCAAGCTCGCCACGATTTTGTAGAAACTAAAATATTGAGTTTTTTAATACCGTAATCGCCACAAACCTGAATTGAAAAGTGACAATTTCACTGAACGAAGCCACCTCTTCAAGCCCAAAATAAATAAAAATGCCACAGCCAGCGGTTAGACACTAAAAAGTAGGATTTTTGTGGATAAAAATAAAGTTTTCCGGATTTGAATTGAATACATAAAATACAGCTTTAATGTATTTAGGCAAATACTTACGGCTAAAAAGATGAAAAACACAGGCAACATCAGCATGGCCTGCCCGGCAAATACCGTTGTTAATAAGCTCAACGAGGCTATTAATGGAGCCTAAAATGTAACAATCGAAATTCACAAAACTTTCTTACCAATAAATAGAATGGGAATTTAGAGATGGCGCTCAGGAGCGAGCTGGTGAACATTAGATAGAAGAACAGCACCCCGAGGGAAATGACGATTTGGATGACGGCCACGGTTTGTTGCACTAAAATCACTTAGTAAATGAAGTTTGAAAAGAGTACACATTAAATCTTTGCTTTAGAGAAAAACCCGATTTTTTTTTTATATACCTTTAACTATGCTTTTTATTTGCTTAGTCTCGAGGGCATGCACGAAAATTTGCAGCCCATTCCTGATTTTGTAACGTTTAAAGCCACCAACTTCAAAAATATAAACAGACTAGAACCCATCAAAAATGCAAAAAAGACCTCATGTTGTAAACAGCCAAAGTAACATCTCAAACGGTCAGACGGTAATTCGTTTCATCCCGGGTCAACCACACAGGGTTTGGTGGGGGGCCTTTTTATACCCCCCCTGCCGGGGAGTGGGCCAGGAGCCGCGCGTTTCGGGGGCACAAGAGGAGCAAGTTCTTGACCAGTTTTTTATATGTTTTTGCACAGGTTTCGATGCTAATAATGGGAAAAACTCTTCTATAAGTTTGCGGTTTTGTAAATATAATGTTATTTTAAGAAATAAAGTAGCTTGTTTGGCTCGAAAGTTCACAAAAGATTTGCTTACGTGTTTCAAAATTAAATGCTTCTTGTTTTTTGAAAATCTGCCTATTTTGTGCAGTTTGAAATACATGTAATGGCGTAGATTTAATGCAAGTTTGAACTCACAAGTCTCGGACTGGAACCGCAGCTTCAAGTACATAAAAATACTGGGCGACGGAATGTAGTGCAGGATTTTTGTGACGGTGAGGGAGACGGAGAGAAGGGCTAGCAGATTACTAAAAATTATAGATAAAAATTATAATTCTTTTTACTTACCCTATCAAGTAAAAGAGACTGCTTGGTCCCGGGACGGCCAGGCACCAGAAGGCGAATGGGGGGGAGGGAGATTAGAGACATCGAGAGGGCCACACGCCACGGTGAGGAGGAGAGGGTGCCCTGGAATTGGAAGGGCTAGGCTTAGGCTTAGGCTTAGGCTTAGGCTTAGGCTTAGGCTTCGGCTTAAGTTTAGACTTACCTGCTGGAAGTTGATAGGGCTATTTAAATTCGCCAGTCGAATTCCGCAAGTCGCGGTTAATAATGGAATAATAGCGAGTAGAAATAGGGGCGAGGCGTGTAGGAATTCATTTTGGCTCCATCCCATAGTAGAAAAATGAGCTTGGCTGAAAAACAATTAAAATCAAAAATAATAAAAATAACAAGAGAGAGAGAGAGAGGGAGAAAAAGAAAAATCGTTGAAAAACTTTTAAAATTTGAAAAGGAAACACGATAAAACAGGCTACAAAATCTCCAAAGCCCCAGAAACGAATCCCAAAATCCAAAAGAAAGGATGTTCCGCGGAGACGAGCTAAAGAAAACGGACCGTCCGTATTTGTTTGCTTATTTGTTTGTGTATGTGTCGATGTCTGTGTGTCGAATATGAGTGCTTCCTGTTCGCCCGTTCCAGCCGCAGGAGCCCCAGAAATGGGAGGGTCGACGGTTTTTATAGGACAATTCAAGACGATAGTATCCCTGCGGAACACCTCTATAAACACGGCAGCTTGTCTCTCTCTCACTCGCTCTCTCACTCTCTCTGCCTTTCTCTCTCCTTGCCTCTCTCTCTCTCCCTCTCTCTCTCTCTCTCTCTCTCTCTCTCTCTCTCTCTCTCTCTCTAAATCGTGGATCTCAATGTATGTCAGCCGCCCTGTAACCCGGGGCTATTTGGGGATTTTGAGGGCTAAAGGAGGGTGGAAAAGTTGTCTCCCAGAATCGGTAGCCAGTGAGTCACGTGGAGAATAACTGGAATCTGACTACGATACCGGCATCTCGATACACGAGTGGTTAGTGACGACTAAAATGACTAATCGGGGTAAGAGAGGGAGAGAGCGAGGTAGAGAGCGAGAGAGAGAGAGAGAGAGAGAGAGAGAGAGAGAGAGAGAGATCGAGGTAGAGAGGGAGAGCGAGGTAGAGAGAGGGAGGGAGAGCGAGTTAGCGAGAGAGGAAGACAAAGACCGGGGAACGAGAGCGTGAGAGAGACAGAGCAATAGCGATAGATAGCGAGAGAGAGAGAGAGAGAGAGAGAGAGAGAGAGAGCGACAAATAGGTACAGAGAGCGAGAAAGAGAGTGACCAAGAGATTGAGTGAGTACGAGGGAGTGCGAGATAGTGAGCAAGAAATTGAGTGAGTACGAGATAAAGAGAGGGAGAGAGAGAGAGAGAGAGAGAGAGAGAGAGAGCGAGTGAGAGAGAGGGAGAGAGAGAGAGAGGGAGAGAGCTAGTCCAAGCGGCAGGAAGCTGGAGCTTTCTGTCATGCACCCTTTAGCCAAAACGAAACAAAAAAAAACATGAATGGCTCGTTGAGTGGTCGGAATAAATGGTTAAATGGTTGGGAAGAAGCAGAAGCGAGTCCAAAGTAATTAGCACACCCCCTCCCCTTCCAGCCGATGTTTGTTGTGGGGGTTTAGCTTGGGGTGGGCTGGGCTAAAAGACTGACTGACTGGAGGGCCTGTTTCCTAAAACTTGCCCCATCAAATCTGAACCCCCAGCAGAAGAGACACACAAACGCATCAACTAGCTCAAGCCAGCTAACCAGATAGAAGCGCCTTCACCCCCACAGTCAAATCCCTTTGCAAATTGCCCCTCACTGGAATGCATGGGAATTCCAGGAACCGTTGTCTTTCGGAAATTCACGGGTATTTGGATTTCAGTAAAAAGATGGGGTAAGTGCTTAGGCTTAGACCGATCCTGCCGCTTATGGTTTTCGGCTTGGCTTGGCTTGGGCTTGGCTCTGGCTTGGCTTGGGCTTGGCTTGGGCTTGCCTTGGCTTCTTGCTGTGTGTGGGAGAATTAGAGCGTAAGATAGAGAGAGAGAGAGAGAGAGAGAGAGAGAGAGAGAGAGATAGACAGAGAGATAAAGCTATAGAGGGCGAGAGCGATCGAGCAAATGGGAGAGTGAGAGAGACAACGCAATGGCGAGAGGTAGCGAGTGAGACATAGAGATGCAGAGACGAAAATCCGCTAAAAAAATGATATAGCTAACATAAAATTTGAATTGTAACAAAAGGTTCTTTTCTCAAAAAAATATCCAGGAAAATGTTATGGCGCCGATATTTTTATTCCAAAGTTGCCTAATTCGAAATTCGATAATTTCGAATCGAAATCGTATATTTTATAAACACGTTTAATCAATTTTTTCATATAAAAGGGAAGGGAAATAAACAGCTAAAAGCAAAAATGCAAATTGCCAATAAGGCCACCTAAAAACTATATTTTCTTGCCATTACGCGAAATGAAAGGGACCAAGCTAGCAAAAAAAATAGGTTCGAATCCCCCTGGAACTGATAAAATCATCCCCCAATTTCGCACGTGAAGCCACAGGAAGCAAAAGAAGGGCGTAAGCCTAACCTGGGTCCTCCGAGAGGTCGAGGGGTGTAATAGAAACACACACGCAGCACACACTCACACGCCATTGGCGAATGACGCTGCAACATGCCCTGGAGGGCACAAAAGAAAAGTTGAAAGTCGAGAGGGACCCCGAAAATACCTGGGCCACTTGGTGGGGCAATCAATCATTGGCCCATCTAACTTCAGGCTGTACCTGACCCATAAGAAGCGGCATTTACCTGGCAGTTTTCAGGGCTTTGAGGGGGAGTGGGACTCGAAAAAACTAGCATGAGCTTGGCTTAGGCTTAGGCGTAGGGTAAGATAAGACATGTGCTTAGGCTTAGGTTTCGGCTTAGACTTAGGTTAGGATTGACTTAGGATAAGCTTAGGCTCAGGTTGGGTGTAAGCTTAGGTCAGGCATACGCGTAAGCTTAGGATGAGGCTTAGGCTTAGGACTTGGTAATAAGCTTACGCTTAGGCTCAGGTTAGGCTTAGGCTTACGCTTACGCTGTGGCACTGGCTTCGTTTGACTTAGGCTTAAGCCTAGTTTCGGCTCAGGCTTCGGCTTAGCTTCCTCATTCGCTTCGACTTGGCTTGGCTTTAAATATGAACTTAG